TCGCAAGAAGTAGTCTACTGGTTAATGGGTTCCTTAGTTTCTTATATTGTAGGAAAAAATGGTGGAATTATAAAACGACGCGTTAGCTCCATCTTGTTTTATCGAAATAACTGTAGTGGTCACACGCGTGCATTTCTGATCCACATTGATCCACATTCTACTTATGTACCTACCAGCTTAAAAAGCTGCACCCATGCTTCGTGCAAATGCAAACAGCTTGTTCATGACGGCTGCCTGGCTTAGTGGTTCGCGTTTCAGACAATGCTAGAGGTCGCTGGATCGATCCGTGCACAAAGCAAACATACAATATTCTTATCTTTTTAAAGTCTCTGGAGTCGTCATGACCACATCATGCTGGACGTTCAAAATCACTTGTGCTTGAACAACCAAAACGAAAATCTGTGAATAATTTGTGGATCATTCTAATCGAGTGATCGATAAATATTTGTGTAGTATTATATGGCAATGCCAGATTTTGTATGGAAGGTGGCGTCTTTGATTACAAACAAGTGTAATAAACCAAACTTACTATGACATGTATACCTCTAAACTCAGTCTGAACTGAGTTACGAGCATTAGAAGTTTGATGATTTTACATACTAGATTTGCTTTCTGCGCGCAAGTTTTGTAAGAAATTTTTTGACGTCTTTTTTATTGCACTGATTCTGCTCCACACTGATTTTTGACAGATTTTGTTGAAATTTCTTACAAAACTTGCGCGCAATAAGTAAAATTTTATAAAAAAAATAAAACCGACTCCAAAAAACCTACACTAAAACGTAGAAAAATAATTACTAATTACCTACTTATTTATTAGGACGAATTATTAATATTTATGTAGGTATACCATGATTGATACTTCTGGAGTCGGTGCCAAGATTATGAAACATGTAAAGTTTGCCTGCACCGACTCCAAAAGTATCAATCATGGTATACCTATTCAACAAAAAAATAATCGTTCAAATTGGTTTATAATCGGCGGAGATATTGCGTATAAAAAAGTTCATTCCCAATTTTCCACCCTTGGGGGTTGTTTTTTTTATTATTAAATTTAAATGGGACCACCCTTGAGGTATTACCTATACGCCGAAAAAAGATTTGTTCAAATCGGTTCATAATTGGCGGAGTTATCGCGTAACAAACATAGAAAAAAAAAAAAAAAAAAAAACATACGGGTCGAATTGAGAACCTCCTCCTGTTTTGAAGTCGGTTGAAAAGCAAATCTAGTACCTATGTAAAATCATCAAACTTCTAATGCTCGTAACTCAGTTTAGACTGAGTTTAGAGGCATACATGTCATAGTAGGTTTGGTTTATTATACTATTTTGTAACCAAAAAACATGGTATGGTCGATGGCCGCGCGAAAAAAAATTTCCAGCATTGTCTTAGTCCATCTTTGCGACAACGCTAAAACAATTTGTTTTTCTTTATTGGTCTAGAAAAACTAACGTCAAATGTGTCTGAAAATTATTATTGGTTATACGTTTTTCTCTTCCTTTAATGTTTCTAGAAACCTAACATACCTACAATGACGAACTGTCTGAAAATTATCATCCACACTTTATGCAATTTGCGATAACTATTCATAAGGTGATTTTTACCAGACTTGCCTATCAGTCTACCATCTATTTATCATCTATACTTCGTATTGTTTCAATAAAAATGAGTCTGATAACACCAGAAAGTAATAAGGTGACTTTCAGGAATGTACCTAAGTTGGTACAGTAAAAAATTAACCAAGTGCGTGTCGTGCCACGGGCAGTGTAGGGTTCCGTTAGTTGTCCGTCGTTACCACAAATATATTTCAGAAGCAAGCAATTACTTCATCCAAAGTCACTTATAATATTTTCTTCTAAGGAATTTTTATTAGTTAAGAAATTTTATAATACATGAGGTGACATAAGTTAAACGACTATTACTCTTAAAGTAACTGATCTATTTTCACCGTTAGTTTTCCTGGAAAGTTCATAAAAAGAACTATTATTATGAATTATTTCAGATTTTTCAAGCCAACAGTTTAGTTTCAACAGGGGAGCTACCCTAAAAAAAATATTTTCAAAATTTTACTCTACCACTTTGTCGGCGTGATAAATATACATACCTCCACAAAATTACAGCTCTCTAGTGTCAATAGTTTCCAAGCAAAACCTCGGACAGACAGACAGATGGACATAACGAAACTATAAGGTTTCCTTGTCAGGACTATACGGAACCCTAAAAACGAAATAGTGACCTACCTCAAGTTATGCTTAATCTAGTAGATTATGCTTAATATCAAAACTAGGGATGTTATGGGTTTGTAGTTTCGGTTATGGATACGGTTACGGATATTGGAATAATATTATACCGGTTACGGTTACGGATTTTTTTAAAATTTCCAATATCCGAAAGTTTCGGTTACGGTTACGGACATCTATGCTAAAGAATGCAAATTGTAATTGTTGTCCAACACAGTTCATGCCTTATGAATAGAATGGGTGCAGAAGAGATTTCTTTGGCATCTGACACCTTTTGATCTTAAAAAAAAAAGCTTTTATCTTATGCTGAGATCTTATGGGAAAAAACCCATGTAATTCAAAATCCAATCATTAAATCAGTGTAGGGACTTGCTTATCTGCCTACATCCGAAACTATCCGAAACTTTTGAATCATACATACACATAACATCCCTGAATCAAAACCTATCGTCAATTGGTAACGAATAATCTTTTATGATGTCTGATGATTGATATATTTTATAATTACCTATCAGTATCACGAAATGCCGAATGGTGATCGTTACAGGTGACTTAGGGACTACCCATTAAAAAGGGAACGGGCAGCAGCGCTCTCTGATAAATATTAATCTTTTCAACTGCGATCTCCAACCCGCTTGCCAAGCGTAGAGATATTAATGCCAAATCCCTCCACTAATGTGGAGGCTCATTGTCGAGCATTGGACTGTAAAGAAAGGGCTATTGATGATAATCAGGAAATTATTTTTTGTGTTATCCAGCGATACATAGCGAAGATTGCGTGTATAAAACTTTTCTTATTTTTTTTTCCTGATAGATAGACTTTCTTGACTCACATTCGAAGAAATATGTGATTTGTTGAATTTTAATATTTCGATCAACCACAACAGACTTTTGTAGGTACTTTACTTACTTGGTCTGGTTTCAGATGATTAATTTTTTTGTTAGGTAACTTAACCAGACCTAAATGCATTGATCGCCATCGCTGCACGCCGGTTGATCGCGTGTGATCGCGTTGGTTCGGCCGAACCTTTAAAATTTCCACTTAGCCTATAAATACATAAAATCCAATACTTTATGTTTGCTACATACAGCAGTAAAATACCTTGACATACTTTTTTTTCCCGGTGCCCCATCATTCGCCTTAAGTGGGAAGGAACTGTGGGATTCCGGACAAAGCCTTCACTACCACAGTCCCTCCCGGCGATTGTCCGCCTACACGGCGGGCCCTACAGGCCCCCCAGGACGGGGGGCGACGGGAGCAGCTAGGAGCACACAGCTGTTCCCGTCCGACGGTGGTGGTGGAGGGCGCCCCCACGCCCCCGGCCCGCTAGCCATCACCGAGGAGAGGAAACTGGAGGCGATCATACTGTCGCCTCCTCTGACCCCTCCGCCGTCGCCGGAGCGAGGGCGCGTTTGGATCATCTTCGCGCTCTCGCTCCGCGGCCTGCTTCTGTGATATCACATCTTCGCAGAAGGAGGACATTGCCGCCCAGGCCTCGCTGCTGTCCAGCATAGCTTCAACTATACTGGGCAACACCAGGTCCTGGCCCACCACCGCAATTAGTGTACTGCGATGCGATGCCCACGACGTACACACCGCAAGGGTATGGTGCGCCGTGTCTTCCGCACCGCTGCGACACTCGTGGCAGGACGGCGTGTCCTCCGTTCCGATGCGGTGCAGGTATGAGCCAAAGCATCCGTGCCCGGTCAATACCTGCACCAAACGGAAGGACCTTGACATACCTTGACTAACCTATTACTTAGTTACGTAAAAGCTGTGAGCTTAACGAGCTTAATCTTAAAATGCGGTGGTAGACACCAATTAAGTGGTCTACTAGATTAAATATCATTTTTTTTTCGGGGTGTCTGTCCCAGCAAATCATCATTTTAGTCCGCTGCTGAACAAAGGCGTCCGCGTCCCCAAATGATATCCAAGTTGGACGGTTTGCAGCAGCCTGCATCCAGCGCCTTGATGAAACCCTTATGAGCTCGTCTTTCCACTTTGTGTGTGTATGTCAACGCGAAATTGTGAACTCCGTCAGTTTATAATATAACGCGTGAGATTGTAAACTAACAGTGGGTTAGGTTAGGACGGAATTCACAATATTACGGTGACATCTACATCCTACGCTGCGCCTGCCTCCAATCCAGAACTTTGATGCCCCATTATTTTGTGTGACCTACCCTTGCCACTTCAACTTGCTAATCCGTCGGGTTATGTCAGCGATTGAGGTTCGTTTACGAATGTCCTCATTTTTTATTCGATTTCGTAAAGTAACACCGAGCATATCCCATTTTTACCCGACTGCGCCAGAAAGAGGGTTATGTTTTTTAATTAATTAGAAAGGTAATAATCAAATATTACCTGATTTTGCCTGGCAAGCATAGCCCTCTTCCTAGCAGGCCGGCAGGCCTAGTTCCGGGAAGGCCTATTGGGAGAGGCCACGTGTCAGTATCTACCAGACCATATGTCAGCATTGGTGGTAACACACACTGGACTGGACTTGATTCTCGAGTCTTAAGTGGTTAAGTTTTTCGGACTTCTGAGTTCAGTCGTATAAAATTTACTTTGTGTTATACAAGATAACTTTAACTTATCTAAGTGGAATACTTTTGACCAATTTTTTCCACTTGGACCAAATTCTTGTTCACCAAAAATCACGACGTATGAATAATGCTGTAATTTCGAAATCACAGACTGTCCTAACGATGCTTAACGGAATCTTTTCTGGTTTCTACAACTAAATAAATAAAACAACCGTTTCTTCTTAAAATTAGCACGATTTATTTCACATTATTTCTCAATAAAATCAGCTTGTTTTAATAAAATTTTGGACAGAACTAAACAGTACATTAAAACAATACTTTAAGGGGTGGTGGTGATCGTATGGTGATCCTATGGTCATCGTATCTTAAGTACTTTTCTGTTAAGTGTAATAAAGTGTGTATACGTATATTTTTCCATTTTATTGTATTTATGTTATGTACTATAAAATTACTGTTCAATTACGAAATAAAGGACTGAACGAGATGATAAATGAAAAATACTCCCTTCTGTAGAAACATTAAAAGCATTCTGCATTTTGTGTGACGAAAATTATATTTTTTTTATAAGTAGATAAAGTCCTTTTGTAAATAAACTGGGAGTAAGTACCTACTTTAAAATTTAAGTAAAAAAATTGTCATCATCGTAGCAATATCTAATATTACCTAAAATGTAATTTCAAGTTCGATGTACGAACGTAATATCGTATACTTAAGTACAGTACTAAATTGAGCTATCAAGGCTATCACACGATTTACTTAGTGAAAAAGTAAGTATTCGTGAAGTGGACAGCGAATAAATAGAAATATAAGGTATAAAATTAGCTAAAATATAACTAGATTTTAGGCAAAGTCACCGCAGAGTTGCATATTTTAAGTTGACAATATATTTATGTAAGTTGTTCATACTTTTTGCGGCAACTTCACCTAAAAACCAGTCCTAAGAAAATGCAGAAGCAAAACACGAAGATTATTTAATCAAATTAATATATAAATAGCGATTTCACGCCGCTAATTGCTACCTTACTAAATAATGACCCAGACTCCCAAAAGTAGTCAATTTAGATCGAAACTTAATTACAATTATGTGCCATGTAAAGCAGTCTTTTCTAAACTTAGGTAAATATTTTTGACATTCCAAATCTTTATACAATTTTAGACATTGTGTTTTGCAAATTCGTATTATCTAGGTACTAGATTCCTATGTTTAAACATTCAAATTGTGAGACGAATCCAATAAGGACACTTCAACAAAATGCAAAAAATTACGGGAATGGTATTAACGAGTCTTTGAAACCTATTATAAGTCTAGATATTGGGCAAGAATAGAAATAGCGATAGGTCGTTTTAAGTTAAGCACGCACCGACACTTTTTTACTATTGAATTTATAATATTAATACTATTTTTAATGAACATCATCTAAATACATAGGAATGAACAATTATTGTGCGTTGTGTGATAAGTACGTAAATTATTACGATGCACTTAAATAAAAATAAGCTCAGTAAAATTGTAAAATTGTTTTTAAAATGTAAGTACTATAAACCTCCTTTGCTGTGATGTTTGCTCTGACGCAGCAGCGTAATTACTTTCAATCTTAGCATTGCATAGGTTGTTGTTTGCTTCCTATCTATTATGTATCATCGAAATATCATTCAATCTTTAATCAATTCGGACCTCGATGTTAATTACTGGTGTGGTATTAGTGTATTGATATGCTCAGTAAATAATATACATATACCGATCGAACATCTACATCTAATTCCCCGTACCCTGCAATATCTCAGGATCGACTTGAGTAGGTTTTCGAATACTTTGATTGTATTTATTTGTCAATCAGCGTGATGTTAATATAAATCAATTTATAAGGATAATCCTTAGAGTTCCTGGGGAAACATACGTAACCAATTTAAGTACGCAGAGTACAATAAAACTGACTTCTTAACAATATGCTTACTTTTTATTACGTTTTCGATATTCGCTTGTCATTCTTCTATAAATGCTGGGTTAGGTCTCTCTACTCCCACCGTATCATTAACCAATTGCTTTTCTTCAAAGAACAAATCTAAGATGCGGATGTATCGGGACTCTTACTTCCATCGTTGTAACTGTCTAGCAAGGAACTACAGTTTGACCGCTTAAAGCCCTACACACTGAGACTTTTTGCAGCGATATAAACGCGATTGACAACTGCTCTAGTACAACAGAGAGCTCTACAACAACTGATGTAGTCTCCATCGTGATTGTAGGTAGTGGCTGTCTTAAAAGTAGTTTTAAGAAATATCTGTTTTGTGCTTGTGTGTAATATCGACAATTTGCGATTGTATCGATACTTTGTTGTTTGTATCGTTGCAAGAAGTTCCAGTGTATAAACCCCAACTAATCCAAAGTCCCAGGGGAAACGGACGAGACGGCTTTAAGGTTCGTAAGCAATGCAATGCTACGGCGCGGTGTGCCGCCTCGCAAGCGGCGTCTTCTGCGGCGCGCGTTTCCCGTCGCCGCCTCGCGCTAGTCACGCGTACGTCTCGCGAAAACGTTTTTGAAGGTGATGAGCTGCGTTTAGAATACGGTTGTGGAGGGTTATATGCGCGTGTGGCGTGTACGCAGGCGGCGCCGGCGCGGGTGCGGCTTGAAGCGGCAGCGTGGGCAGTTGAGCGTCGTTGTCGGGGTGGCAGAAGAAAGCCACGCAGTGACGCCCGCGAGCCCGAGCGTACGTGCCCGACGGGACTACTACGCGGTGCATCTGGAAAACGAAAGAACGTGTAATTTTTTTGGGAAAAATAAGTAAAGTATCTAGTAATTTCTGATATATACCTAGCGTTGAAAGCGAAGTCTTGAAAATGTATTGATTAACAGTATCTAAACCTATACTCTCTTTAACACTCATATACAATTTTGTGAATTTTATTATACATTTTTGTGAGGTTTTGATACGGTTACTAACGCGATGTTTCATGAAATTCTTTTTACCCCTTTGGTAAAAAGCCAATATCAATATTCAGCCTAAAAACTATATTGATCCAAACATGATAGGTCCGTCTGTGCTTTACGACACAAGTACAAACTTAGTAGTAATGTATTAACTTGCTCAGTAAACCAGTCATAGCTTATGCTGATGTATGGAGGTTACTTACAAGAGCAGGAAGAAGGTTGGTGGTCCATGCAGCCAACAGCTCTCCCGGCTGGACGAGGATAGCGCCGGGCAGGTGCCCAACCGCTTGCCACACATCGCTGCCGTTCAGTTTCACCTGGAAAATTATAAGCGATGAAATAAGTAATGTTGTAGGTATAATATAAAGTTGAAAAACCGCTGGTTGGTTAAAAGATCCTATTTATATTAGGAACAAAGGTCACGCGTACACTTAACTGAATACGAAGAATTGAGCCTAAGCACACACTCGATTTTAAGATGTTTGTTTTCTTAAAAGGCCGGTTGTGAAACTTGTATTTTTTGACCCTGTTGTCACTCAGCTCCGAGAGCGAAGGAGTAATCAAACTTATTTGTAGAGAAACTTGTAAAGTTTCCTGATTTTCTTTCATTGTTAGTGCCAATTTTAGTGCTCCTGCGTCAAAACTGGATCTGGAGTCGGAAAGGTGAGTGAAGGACCCATAGAGTAAGAACACTAAGAACCACACCCCGTCGTTCTGGTTGGAACCCATCCAGCTATGGAGAGACGCCACGATAAGTATTATGTTCCACAAGCATGATCTATGATCTTATCTTATCTTATATATAAGATAAGATAAGATCTATGATCTTACTGAGTTCCCTAGCATGGCACGGGCCCTCGTCCTCGGGAGAGACGACGGGAGTGACTCTAGTCACGGTGTGTGACGCGGCTCACCTCCAGGCCGCCCTCCGAGTCCTGGGCCAGCAGCGTGAAGGTGTCGTAGTCGGCGTGCGCGCCGCAGCGCGTGTAGTGCACGGCGTCGCTGGGGCAGCACGGGCCCTCTCGTCCTCGAGGGACGGGGAGTGACTCTAGTCACGGTGTGTGACGCGGCTCACCTCCAGGCCGCCCTCCGAGTCCTGGGCCAGCAGCGTGAAGGTGCCGTAGTCGGAGTGCGCGCCGCAGCGCGTGTAGTGCACGGCGTCGCTGGGGCAGCACGGGCCCTCGTCCTCGGGAGGGACGGGCGGGTAGTACAGCAGGCGCATGGTGGACGGGTTGCGGCCGTCGCTCTGCAGCATGCCGGAGTGGCAGGCCAGGAGCGTGGCTGGCGGCACACCTGGAATCATTTCCCACTTAAGTTATGAATCTAATATTTGGTAATGGCTTCGATTCAAACTGGGTCTTAATTTTCGACTTGATCTTTAAACGCTTTCAACACGTCTGGTCTAATGATAAAAAAAAATCGCGGTTACATCATTAAGGCATTTTTACCTAACCGCTGCAGCGCTGTTGGGTTGCCATTTTACGTGTACTTATGATGAGTCTCCTTTCCATTTTGTTACAGTTATTAGGTAAATACTGTAGATTATAGAAATGTTGTTACAGTGGCGTTTTGTTAGTAGTTCCTTAATTCATCTGTTTAGACTTTTAAATTTGATAAAAACGATATAAAAATCTGCATTCAAGAACTAGACTGCACCCAGTGATTTTCAGTAATTAAACCGCAAACTGTACCGAAAGCATAAGCCAAGGCCTGGAGAAGCACACGCGAGAGGTTGGTGAGGTCCCTCGCGAGAGGCACGGTGTGGCTGCAGAACTCCGGCACCTCCTCCTCGGCGGGCATCGCCGCCGCGGTCAACGACGTGATGTTGAACGCGTGACGCAGCTCCTGGAATGAAGAGACATAAATAAGCTAAGACATTGATATTAGAACTTCCTCAACAATGAGAGCTCTTTCAAATACGAGTAAAACGTTTAAACGACTAATGGACTCGTCCGTTTTCAAGACCGCACCGGAAAATTGAACGACTGCGCTTAGGTAAGTTTACTCTTTAATCTACTAAGTATATAAAAATAAGTCGGGTTTTCCTCCCTGACGCTACAACTCCAGAACGCACGAACCGATTTCCACGGTTTTGCATTCGTTGGAAAGGTCTCGGGCTCCGTGAGGTTTATAGCAAAGAAAATTCGGGAAAAGGGGGTAAAACAGGATCCACGCGTACGAAGTCGCGAGCGGCCGCTAGTACTTTTGAAATTAATTTCTTGTGCTACTTGTAAGACACAACAGCTGAGGTCTGGCGGGCTGTTTTTGTAATAATTTTGGAAGTATGCACATACATCTACAGGTCAATACAGTTTACATTTAAGGCCAACATCAAGGAAAACAAGTAGAGGCATTTTGTTCAAGCCAATGTATTTTTGGCGACTGTATTTTATTGGTAGCTATGAGGATATCCAATCAGGTGATTAGGGACGTTCCGTAGTCCAGAGTTCGCTGTAGGTTTTCAATTTGCCTATAGAATTATGCATTTAAAGCAATCTGTTCAGTTTAGTTACAGCGACTGTCAGCAACTAGCAATAACATGTCACCCGCTAGTTTCTTCAGTTAAGTAAGTAGGTACTCCGTGATCATGGCGCTTGCAACAGTGCAATCTTACAACAGTTACAACACGAAATATCGGAGGCTCGTAAATAAGATGTATGGTAGCAATCCCGTTAATAATACTTATTCTAAAGCTAATCTAAAACTAGATACCAGGGTAGAATAAGGTATTAAAAGGTACCTTTTTAGTGTCATCGAACTGCTCCATACCCGGGCGCACGTAGCCGTGGTTGCTGACGGGGTTCCGCAGGTACTGCGCCTGGCAGCCCTCGGGGAGCGCGCAGAAGTTGTCCAAGTCGGCGTACACCGCTTTCAACTGGAATTGGACAAATGCTGGTGAGTAAACAGCGAGAAACTTTTCCTTTGCGACCTTATTTCCAGAAAAAAATATCCCATCAAAAACAATACTTGTCAAAAAAACCAAGTCTTGCAACTCAGTTGTTCTACGGTAAAAAGTTGTGAGATCCATGTAATACCAAGTCCAGGCCAGGAAATCTTTAACGTTTTACATAAATATATTGACTTGGCCATCGCACTAAATAATTTAATTTACACGTGTTTTCATGCGTTAAAGATTTCCTGGCCTGGACTTGGTATTACATGGATCTCACAACTTTTTACCGTAGAACAACTGAGTTGCAAGACTTGGTTTTTTTGACAAGTATTGTTTTTGATGGGATCTCATTTCTTTTTGTATTTTGTAGACAGCAGTTATGTATCTAGAAAACTGGACCGAAATTGAAAAATTTTACTCGACTTGGCGGTTGCACTACTGTGCCCCCAAATCTCATTTCTTTTTGTATTTTGTAGACAGCAGTATGTATCTAGAAAACTGGACCGAAATTGAAAAATTTTACTCGACTTGGTGGTTGCACTACCGTGCCCCCAAATATTTTAGTTTTTCCTTGATTCATACACCAAACACTACTTATATTCCAAATTTCAAGCTTCTAGGTCTGCTAGAAGTGCCTTAGAGTTTTGATGATCGGTGAGTCAGTGAGTCAGTCAGTGAGTGAGTCAGTGAGTGACAAAATTAAGTAACTTTGACCCGTTATAATTCTTAAACTACTGGTTCAAATTGAATGAAATTTTAAATATACCGTGTCTTTACAATGCCTGCATAGCTAATGAAAATTCAGCCTTCTAGTTTTATGCACAACGAAGTTACAGGCAGTCGAAAATGGCCTGAATTGCTTCGAGAAAAGGATGGTACGGCCGTGCCGCTTTTTTGCTCGACTTGGTGGGGGCACTGCCGTGCCCCCAGATTCGGTTATGCAGGGTCTTCAAACTTTGAAGCCTCGGGGCCATACAATTTTCGGTATGTTGCGAGGGCCATAACAATTTGGCCCGCGGGTCGTAGTTTAGAGACCCCTGGGTTAGAGCCATAAAGCTGTTTCTGTTTGACATGACGGCGACGGCGCGGCGCCGTCCAAATTGTTATGGCCCTCGCAACATACCGAAAATTGTATGGCCCCGAGGCTTCAAAGTTTGAAGACCCTGCATAACCGAATCTGGGGGCACGGCAGTGCCACCAAGTCGAGCTTAGTCGAAATCGACCACTTTATGTTTCATTCCATACAACGAAAATGGAAAATATTTTTTTCCAGCCAAACTATTGGTTTTAGAGAAAAACTTGTGCAGCATTTATTCATCAGAATAACGTAACCTATCGATAGGTAATTTTTTCAAATAGAAATTGTGAAAAAAATCGCTATGTCCATAAATCGCAATTTCGATCCATAGTGCGGCGGCATTGCGTATCTCTATTTATCACATAGTGCTGCTGCTATTGACATCTCGCTTGCTCAGTTCTTTGTTGATCTATTCCGAAGGAATACTAACTTTATGGTTAGAGTAGAGCTTTATTATTCTGCCTCATTTTGTTTAACAATTGAAGGGGGAATAATAGGTAGGCCTCTTTAGACACTCCCGCTTTTATTTCAATCGCATCTACTTCCCTGGTATGAATCAAGGGCTCAAGGCTAACCAAATAATGAAAATTAATTAATAAGTTCAACCAATTAAATCAACTTAATTTATTTAAACAATATCAAAGTTCATTATAGGATTGTTAACACGTGCCACGGGTATCTGTCATATTTAAGTTGATGACCTTATTCTGAGTCATTCGTTTAAACATTATCCGTTACTTTGTGAACCAGTAGCTAAGTTTGTAGCGATTGTCACAATATCAGAGGCGTGTGATGCTTAAATGCAATTGACCGATAGGGACTTATTTGGCAAAAAAATTATACCTAGCATAAGTATATCTTATTTTCAGTAGCTTTTTGTAACAACTTACGGCAGTCTTCTTCGGATGAAAACAGATGCACACACTACTTTCATAAAATCTTTTTTGATCAATTCAAATTCTGTTCTTACCTTCTCCTCAGCAATTCCATGGTTGACAAGTACAGCTAGACCCTTTCCACTGAGAGCAGTGACCAACTGCTGGCCAATGCGTCTCACCACTGATTTCATAGGACACACATCTGTGCCTGAAACAAAAGAAAAATGACTTTATAGTTTGGCATTTATCTGCAGGATAAATTGACGAAGGTTGAAATTACTTGACTTGGAGTTGAGTGAAACGCTTTTTTGTTTTTTTGATTATGAGGAAGACTCCGGCAATGTTAATTGGTTTTCTTTCTTATTTGTTCGCTCAAAAATTTTTAATCCAGCCCGAATCCTATACCAAGTTGATAAACTACGTTTTGCCACACATTTGTATCCAGACAAAGTCAAATGTTTTTTAGGATAGGTACTAACTAGGTACCTTGACATTTTCGGAAGCGATTTCCAACTCAAATATTTCAAGAATTTTGCTTCACAACAACTTACGAAAGTATTATTTGACTGAGAAAAACGGTAAGCAATTAATAGTTTTTTTCTTTTTTAGCTGTAGGTGTCGCATGCCGAACTTTAGATTCCTCGTTCACCTCGTCTTGCACAACGTGAATAAAATATAAGAGAGACCGTTTCGAGTTAGCCGAAGGTTTGTCCGTGACACGCTTCTCTTGAAACGGTTTCTCTGGCAATATTTTGTGTTACATACGATTACTATGAAATAGGTTTAAAACTCCCGTTACATTTACAGCCTTGTCACATTTAATCTAATATCGATGACCTTTGTATGACAGATATAGGTCGTACAGTTAGAATATTTCAAAACAGATAAATTACTTTAGTCGTAACAGTTGATATTTGTTTTATAACTCTGAAGACAATAACACGAATAATAAAGTTTGTTATTCTTTATTTTTATGGTAATTGTTTTGTTATGGTCAAGACTTCAAGCATGAACGATAGTTATATGCAGGTATGAACAATTAAGTTATATCACCGAGCTGATACCTAACTTGGCACACTGGGTTACGTACATTATGTAATGTCAAACGCTACTTTCAGGCGTAGAAAGTTACCCAGTCCTTATGCTGCAGACCAATCGTTATTATTAATGTTGTCTTGATACGAGTATTGAGTATACGTATCCAACCTTCACTAAGCTTCAGGAAAAAAATGTTATCATCTGGTACCTCGTTGTGACTGCCTTCAACAGCAAACACGGAAGATGTGTGATCTTCGCTCGCTTAGATTAGCCCAGTAACCTTAATAGAGCCGCTTGGTAATCGCACAATGCTTTGTTGCCTTTAAACGTTATGTTACGGGACTATTCCCACCTCTCGTTCCCACCACTGCAACTCCTGTGTAGCCAGGATCTACAGCTTGACCGCCACAAAAACCCAACCAATGAAGGTCAAGTTTGTCCCGGGGGAAAGTTAAACTGTCATTGGACCCGCAACGAAATTAATCAGAAGAACATGGGAGGAGTTCGAAATTAAGGTTCGACTTCCCTCCATTGCAAAGCGGATGACAGGTGACAAACAAAGGTTTAAAACCTTTAAGAAAAAGATTATGCACCACGGACAATAAATTAAATTAAGGGGGCCTATCTTATGAGCAATTAGCAACTACTTGCCAATAATATTTTTCATTGTCGCGACAAGATCGGTGTAATAAATTGCGGAAACAGATGTATGTTGTATTGAATTAAGCATTATATCTCGTTCATGTTTCCAAAGATCACACTCCGTATCGTACTGCCGGTCGACTTAGAGGTACAAAAGCGTGCGGCTATGTACTTCGCATCAAGGGAAAATATAACCTCCGATTTCTTAAATAGCCGCGATCGTTCTAAAATAAGTCGATTATTTGATTCCCGAGAAGTCGTTGAAGAAGATTTACTTAATGAATGGCAAAAAGATGGGATACGTCAGTCAAAGGACGTCACTTATATAAATTCTTCCCGAATGTACGCGAACGTCTAACTAGGCGATGGTTAGAAATCAACCATTGCTCGTCGCAGTTCCTCACGGGACATGGCAACTTTAAACATAAACTTCACGAATTCAAACTAGTTCCGTCTCCTTTTTGCGAGTGTTCCACTGATGATGTCAGTCATGAGCAGTCTGCCCATCATATCTTGTTGGAGTGTAAACGTTATGTTAGTGTGGCCCCATTCTATATTGGGAGCTAGACATTGCTAGTAGTTCCATTAATTAATATTTTAAACACATGTCGTGGAATTGGTAAACATTATATTCTTTTGATAGGTTACTTTAGATTTAGAGGATATCATAAGTGATAAGGTATCTGATATTTGTTGATAAGATGAAGAATTTCCAAAAACAAAATATTATTTTAGGCGGTTACTAATGTAGCGCACAAGATCAGCTAAACAAATTCCTAATAAGAATTACTTATATTGAATTTGTTGTTTCAATTATTATACCCACCCACATATGTACATATTACTATAATAGGGGACGTTATTATGAGTGTATTGTGTCTAAATCACAACTGTAAATAAAAAAAAGACTCCTTTACTGCTTCATATTAGGATTGTCACACATTATGTTTGCTCGCACTCCCTTGTTCGTTACCATTGGTTTACGTGTTAACAAGTTCAAAGTCAAATACTATCTAACAAGGAATGTAATGTAAAGGACCAAGTATTGGTCGTTTGTATTAACAATAACCAAAACAGTTAAATTAATTTTTGACTTCACAAATTTTCGTAGAAAATAGTGTTAAACTTTCCTCAAGATCAGGTTGCACATGTTATGAAACTCTCATAGCAATTTATTTACTAGTCTTCAATATAGGTCTGCATGAGCTTCAAATAAAAGTTGAGATTATGGCAAACAATGATTATTATAGTTGTAACCCTGTATACTCTCTATTATTGTTGCGACTTGCGAGCATCGCAAGAACGTATTGTGACAATATTCTAACCTACAAATCAGCTGTTTGGGATCGCGGATACATAGTAATTATCTAACTGCGGGCACAGGCCACGGACGTGACTCAATTGATCGTCGCGATTACACAAGCGATCAATGTCGTCATTTGTTTTACACGAAATACCGCTTTGTAGTTTGTGACTATTATTTTTCAGTCGTTTCGAAAACGCGTGACCGATAATGTATATTTTAAACGCTATAAAGTCATCGGTGGGTTTTTTCAATAACAAAATATACATTTTTATGACGCATAATTTGTTTGTTTTCAGTCCTCATAATATTTGGTAAAACATCACTTAAAAGACCTTATGTTATGACCTATTGAAATCGTAAACAACTAGGAGACAATGTGCAAAAAGATGCTGGACCACCCGGAGTGTATGTAACGTAGTATATTCACGCCAGTCTATCGTGAATGTAGTTATAGAGTTTCAGTAATTTTACACGCCGTTTCCTATTAACTATCAAGTTACATCGTGGCAACTTGCAACACGTTTCATTAACATAATGACAGTAAATAATGTGTGCGAGTCCCTTGACGATTAAACAAAGGTCTAAGCACTGTGTGAGCTCTATGTATCAATACGAAATATCGATTGCAACTATTTATTTTCAACCCTTGACATGGTTTCGTTCTATAAAAGGGTCCGAATCAACTAGCCCTTGGTTTGGTTGAAGTTCGTGTTTGTAAATAATACGTTTGTGTAGTAAGCGACAATATAATTTGGCAATCTTGTAAATATACCTACTAAACTACGAATTTGGCAATCTTGTAAATATACCTACTAAACTACGAAGAAGAAAAAGAACTTAACTACAGAGATTAAAGATCTAAACATTTTAAAAAAATAGGGAATGTTTCATTATTATGGGTATAGGCAAAATAGTGGTAAAGTTAGTCGACCTTAAACAACTATTTGATCGACTCTACCGAATATCTGTATTTTTTAGTTGAAAGCCCATTGAAAGTCTATAAAACTTTTAATATTTAGTTTCTTTGGGGTGGAGTGAAGATTTTCATTACATATTATCTCGAACCAATCACTGCTTTAACCTATTCTTGAATTTGGACTTTAAATACACGAGTTTCATTTTATAATAGTATCGGCCTATTCATAATATTTTAAATTGCATTCTAGCAAAAAGTAGTTATGCATTCTAGTCATTATGTAACTGTAGCTACGGAAGTGCTTACTGCACCCAATGTAGGTGCATTTGATAATGAGTCGGCAAAATATGAGGGGACAAAGTCTAATTTCTATTGTTTATTATTACTTAATTAAAAAACGCTTACGTAAATGATTACGTAATGGCGTAGTTACAAGTCTCAAAATATTTTGAACAGTGTATTGTTTTCTTGATAAAGCATAAGTTTCATATTTTTCAGATTGTAACTATCTTAATAGTTAAAACCTAATCAAGATATGAAAGTTGATCAGGATTTAATACATTGATTAATTTTCAATGAATATTATAATATAAATCAAAACGTCATGCTTACACAACGGAGTTGATTATAAGTTATTTATGTACTCGTACCTACTCGTATACAATACACGTAATAATTGAAAGTAATTTGGAACATTAATCTAACTACGAAGTATGTAATAAAACCGATCTAGCCGTTTTTAAATCTATATTAGTTTCCGTTATAAAACGCAGTTCTTCCACTACCGACTGAGGTTCATTTACTATGTGATAGTTTACTCGTATATCATGCACGGCTACCTAAGTAAACTCCGACAAACTTTACTTCGACATTACGTTACTCGTTAAGGATATTTGCCTTTGTCTAAGTAGTGTAGTGTCGAAGTTAGTGCTTTCCTTACAAACCTTATTATAGTGGTTTCCTGAATGCTGTCAAAATAAATTAATTGTCTGTAATTCTTTCTATTTGGTAAATAAATTAAAAAAAAAGTAAAGTCGTGTCGGATCAGTAGTGTCGGAGTAACGTAATGTCGAAGTAACGTTTGTCGGAGTAGCATTTTATAGCCGATGCATACAAGTAAATTGTGCAATCGGATTGAATGAATTCAATGACCGTCACCGATAAAAACATATTCCAATAGCATTGAGTTGCTTGTGATAGTATCGCCAGCGAAAGTACTTGTATGTATATCGGCATAGACACAATATGCCAAGCAACCGCCACTGCCAGTGCGCAGTACGCACTACTTTCTACCGCTGCGTTCTGC